AATTTGTTTTTTTCTGTCTTTTTGTTTCTTTGTTGTAACATCATATATGTTTTCTCTTAATAAATGTAAGGCAAGATTGCCTAAGTTAAAAAAAAAAAACAAATTATTTAATTTATTAGTTATTCAAATGCCAAATGATACCAAACAAATTATTGAAAATCGAACAAAACTGCAGTATTATTAGTCATATCAAGCTCACAAAACATATCTAAATACACAATTTAATACAAATCTACTTATTTTAGATAATAATAGTACTATTATTGTTGTTGATTATAAAATAAAAATTCTACTAAAATCAGCATGGAAGGTTAAGTCAGACTTCTATAGTAAATCTGAATAGTCTTTATATACAACATTAGTATATACTAAAAAAACTAATCAAGAAGATTTAGAAATTCATGCCTTTGACCATTGGTCATCTGATATAGTTCAGGATACATGGTTTACTGCTTTAGCATTTGAAGTTGTCTTCAATAATCTTAGCAAAAAACTATCCTGAATAAAAATTATATTAGATAATAGTGGTTATTACTATTATACTGAATTAATGTTAATAATTGCAAATTGGAAATTATAGTATGATATTAAGGTGCATAGTTGGACTTTTTTAGAAGCTGGAGAGGCTAAGACAACTATTAATTCACATTATGCTCAAGTAAGTATAAAGTAATAAAACTTTATATTTGGTAAATATTTGAATAAATAATTATCTAACGAATAATTTGAATAAACAAATATTATTCAAATAAGCAAATTTATTCGAATAATTTTTATTATTCTTCATATAAAATACAGTCAATGCCTGCTTCATATATAGTAACTATAGTACATATTATTAGCTGCTTTATATCCAACAACTATATATTATATATATTATTTGAATAAATAGTATTTATTTGAATAATTTAGTTATTCAGCAAATATTCGAATAGATATTTGCTAATCTAAATTATTCAAATAAGAAATCTGTAAGCTCTAATAAAAATAACTTATACATATCTAAAAATTGAGACCTCAAAAGATAAAAAATAATTTAGTTTATAATACTAGTATTGAAATAATTAGATTATATATACCATATACTAGATTAAATTTTGCATCAGATCAAAATATAATTCAAAGTATTATGATATTAGGATTAAGGTAAGAGTCTATATTAGAATAAAAGTAGATATTAGAATTATTGGCGAATTATAACTATTTTGATCTAGTACAAATATTAATTTGACATATAATATATATATATAATAATAAACTAACTGATTAACTTTCAAATTGCATATGCTATCAAATATTATGTTTGGTTAGGCTATAATATAAATGAGAGAGAAAATATAGTAGAGGTGATTAAGAATATTAAAGGCACAAGTATTGCTAATATTCAACTAAATAGAAATTACAAGGGTATCAAAAAACCCAAGCTCAGTGGAATATCAAATTGGTTTGAGTTTAAGTAGCTCATAGAAGGAGAACTTATAGGTTTTATTTGTACATAAGCTTTACCTCACTATGGTACTTAGAACAATTTTTCACCTGCTGTTATTAATAAATCAAGAGATAAGATCGAACAACCCAATCCAAGTCCTAAAGTATCAGACCATACTATTATGAATTCATCTTGAACAGTTTCTTTACTATCAAATAGTAATAGCAATGATTAATATTATTTTGTTAGTTAAAGTAAATTATTGGTAGTAATATACTGTATCACAGTATATTACAACCAACTATTTGTATTGACTAAAAATATTTTGCAATATTGATATTGCATTTGTATAATAAAAAAATATTTACTTGAATTGATTATTCATAATAGACCCAGATCCAACTAGATTGTTGATATCAGAGATCAAAAAAGAACTTGACCAAAGAAGTTTGGAATATAATACTAAAGAAAATAGAAGAAACTTGATTAATCTGTTAAAGGTAAATATTCAACAAGAAACATCAACTATAATAAAAGATATAAAAAAAAATTTTTTTTTATTATTTTGCATATTCATTCTATACTACATTGATCAAATTTTATCTATAGAGATGAATGATACATACGAATTATATATAGTAGTTGATAATGAGGTAAATGATAAAGTAACAGTAGAATCAAAGAAACAAAAAGACAGAAAAAAACAAATTCAACAAAAAAATTTAGAGAATAAAAATTATTTTTATTCTAAATAGGCTTTGAAAAAAAATCAAATATATAGAAAAAAAGAAGGAGGCAAATGTATAACAGAAACTGTAAAAGAAATATTAAAAAGCTTTTTTCATGCTAATAATAAAGATAAAAGTGAGTGATATACAGCAAAAGACATGCTTCAAGATCTGCAACAAAGAGAGCAAATAGAAGAGTTAGAGACTGAAGAAATTCTACAGTTTAAAACGATTGAGAACTAGATTAGCAGGTATTCATTATTACATAAAAAGGAGGCAGCAAAAAAAGCTAAAACAACAGCTTCAAGTTAGCAAAGTGCCAAATAAAAAAAAAAAAGTTTTAACTTATATTTGTTGATCTATTGAACCTTTTGTCCATTATAATCATTACATTCTGCTTATTTTTTTACCTATAATCCTAAGCCAGAATAAGAATAGCATAGTAATAGTCAATTAATATTGATTTTTGTTCTTATGATAAAAGACTTAGTAGTATTTGTTTGTAAATATTATTTATACAATTTAGGTCTTCATGTGAAAAAAAGTGCAGATTGTATATTTTGAAAGTTGTGATTTTTAATTAATTTATATTTAAATTTTAAAATTTTGTTCTGATTTATATTATACATTTTCTTTCTATTTTTGACAAATCATGAATTAAACTATAAAAACCTATATATAGTCAAAAGAAGTACTTTTTGTCTAGCTAATTAGATTAATGATCCAAAGTTCTAAATTATTATTTAGATACTAATTAGTTTTAAAGTATAATTTCTAAATCATATAGAGTCTTTAAATTTTAAATTAAGCTAAGTTAGATCTAAGTTAAGTTTATATTCAATCTAAATCTAATTTGAAGTTTTTCAAATTAAAAATTTTTTAATTTAAACTAAATCTAATCTAATTAAAAGTACTAGTTGGTGCTATAGTAAAATCTAGTATTATACAAATATCACAAAAATTTAAGTTAGATAAATTTATGAAATAAGTATAAGACTACTCTAGTAAAAATTACTTCTAATATTAACTAAAGCTTTGTATACTCATAATATATTAGATAATATATATTTTAATAGAATCTAAGTTATATATAGAAAAAGTTTTATAAACAAGTTAGCTAGCTTAAATAATTAAATATAGTAGTAAAATTAATTTGATATATCTAAAGAATAAATTAATAATTAGATTATTTAAATAAATAATTATAAATAAGTTGTAGCATAGTATAAAACTAAACAAATAGTTTAATATCTATATAGCAAATTACTTAAATAGATAATAACTAAAGTTATATATATAGCTTATTATATACTTATTATATATATATATATATTTTTTATTATTAAGATAGCTTATATTGCTAAACAAATTTTATTAGTTTAATATACAGAGTCATATATGAATAATTTTCTATAGTTTGTAATTATATAAAAAGTATACAACAAGCTATATATTTAACTTTAGTTATTGTTTAATTTAAGTAGTTTACTACATAGGTATTAGACTACTTGTTAGTACTATATTATACTACTATATCTATAATTCATCTGTAAGTTATCTATTTAAATATTTTATTTAACTAACTTATACTATTACAAACTAATGACACTATCCCTTAAACCATTTTCTAGGCAAATTTGCCTAGATTTTTAAAAAGTTTTTATAAATATTAATATAATTTAATAAAATATTAATAATAT